TTGTAAAATTACGATTGAACCACTGATGTGACATGGATTATTTTACCGATCTCCTTGCTATGTTTCTGTGCATTGACCGTGGTAGTACCCTTGCCGTCTATGGAGGGTCAGAGAGCTCTCGGATTTCATCAAAAATATCGTAATTTGTGTTCCGAAGATGAATGAAGGTCTTGCGGATTTGGATCAACATGAGGGCGAGTAATTAATTATAGAATTTTCATTTTTGGGTGAACTATCCCTTTAAAGAAACGCATAATCTGGCCCATTTATGAGTTTTTAATTTCATAGTAAGGACAGCAAAATGTCCTCCCAAAGTGGTTTTAAATACATGTTTTACTGTAAGGTTATAAATGTGGCTTCCTTGGACCTTGCTTGCAGTTCATTCTGAAGCTGCACAATGGAGAGACAGCATAATGTTGCGAAGAACCTGGCTCTGCTATTTGAGTTTAGTGATGAAGAAAGTGACGTGACTCCACAAACGACAAGTGATGGAGTTATGAAAGAGGAAAGAGACACAACCCTACATAAGACAAGTAATAAAGTGATGGAAGAGGAAAGAGACAGGACTCTTCATACGACGAGAGATGGAGGGATGAAAGTGGAAAGAAATGTAACCCTACATATGACATGTGATGAAGAGATGGTAGAGGAAACAAACGAGACTCTTTATATGATGAGTTATGGAGGGATGAAAGTAGAAAGGGATGAGACCCTACATGTAACAAGTGATGGAGGGATGAAAGTGGAAAGAGACGTAACTCAACATATGACAACTGATGCAGGGATAGAAGAGAAAAGAGACGCAACCTTACGTACGACAAGTGATGGAGGGATGGAAGAGAAAAGAGATGCAAATCTACATACTACAAGTGATGGAGGAATGGAAGAGGAAAGAGACGTGGCCCAACATATGACAAGTGATGGCAGGATGGAAGAAAACAAATATGTGACCCTACGTACGACAAGTACTGAATGGATAGAAGAGGAAAGGGATCTGGATGGAGACGCAGAGCTGGAGGTGGAGCTCTCTGATGAAGCTTCTGAAACCGAGGACAATACGGAGTTCGATCCAGACTACCACTCTACTGATGGAGAAGAGTCAGAGGAAGAGTCAGAGGTCACAGCTGACACAGAGACGGCTTATCAGTCTAAAAACGGAAACATATCGTGGACTTCAAAAGCTCCTCCTCAGAGACAACGAGGGAGATTTCCAGCTCATCGTATCATCAGAATGACCCCTGGACCAACCAGGTTGGCATGTGCCAATGCTAAAGACATAAGATCAACCTTTGAATTGTTTTTCCCAGATGATATTAGACAGATTTTGATTGAAATGACCAATTTAGAGGGGAAATGCGTGTTTGGTGATACCTGGAAGAACCTGGACTGGACAGATTTACAGGCCTTTCTTGGTCTGTTGATTCTGGCAGGCGTGTATCGATCCCACCATGAGGCCATGGATTGCTTATGGCACGCTGAGTCGGGAAGGCCAATTTTTCGTGCTACCATGTCACTGAAAAGTTTTAAGAGTTTGTCAAGGGTCTTCTTCTTTTACAAAAAGGACAAAAGGTATAGCCAACAGAAAAAAGACAAGCTGGCACCAGTAAGGAACATCTGGGATAAATGGGTCCAACGACTGCGACTCTTATACAATCCAGGCCCAAACGTCACTGTGGACAAGTGCCTGGTCCGTTTCAGAGGTCGCTGTCCCTTCAAACAATACATGCCGAGTAAACCGGGCAAGTATGGAATTAAAATCTGGGCGGCATGCGATGCCAGATCGAGCTACGTGTGGAACCTGCAGATCTACACTGGCAAAGCTGTCGACGGCAAGTCAGAAAAGAACCAGGGAATGCAAGTGGTATTGGACATGACAGACGGTCTAGAAGGACACACCATCACGTGTGACAACTTCTTCACCTCGTACGCCCTCGGCCAGGAGCTGCTCCAAAGGAAAATGACCATGATTGGAACCGTCAGATCAAACAAGCCTGAGCTCCCACCTGCGCTCCGATCAATGAAGGACAGGGCACCATTATCATCCATGTTCGCCTTCACTGATACGCACACTCTTGTGTCCTACTGTCCCAGAAAAAATACAAATGTGCTTTTGATGAGCACTTTCCACAGAGATGACAAAGTAAGCGACAAAGACCACAAGAAGCCAGAGATAATCCTAGACTACAACCACACCAACGGCGGAGTTGACAACCTTGACAAGGTATTTTGCTACTTTGCATTATTTATTCGTTTTTATTCAAGGCCAAATGCCACATATAATGTGAAATGAAATGTCAGCTGATAAGCTAAAGCTTTGTTGTTGTGTGTATGTGTCATTTTGTTTCCAGCTTGTTGCCACTTACACCTGCCAAAGGAAGACCACACGTTGGCCCATGGTGATTTTCTTCAACATGTTGGATGTCTCTGCCTACAATGCATTTGTGCTGTGGATGGAAATAAATCATTCATGGAACAAAGGGAAGAAATATAGAAGGAGGCTCTTTCTGGAAGAGCTAGGGAAAGCTCTGGTGGCTCCTCTCATGAAAAGACGGGAAAATATTCCCCGAACTCCAGCCTCTCAGAATATGGTGATGGAAGCACAAGCAAGCTCTTCGCCAGTCAAAGCCACTCATCTCGCACCAGTAACCCCAGCCAAGAGGAAAAGGTGTCAGGTCTGTGACCGAAAGAAGGACACAAAAACAAGTTTGACGTGCAGTGAGTGTAACAAATACATTTGCGGGTCACACGCTGTTATGACTGCTCAGTGCCCAGAATGCAGCAAGAAGGTTTAAACCAGATTTAACCACTGCTTATGTACTGTTTGTTACTTGGTTTTATGACTAAAACCAATCTTTTCTTTTTGTTTTCTTTACTAACTTGTTTACCATTGCAAAATGTGTAATCTGTTTATTGCCCCTTGTTCCGTTTACTTTTTTTTATTAGTTTACTGCATTAGAGTTACTAAGTATTCATGTTTTAAATAAATGATAGGCTACAAAATTATGTATACTCAGTCTTTTCATTGTAACACTCTTTGTAAGCAAAATGTGGCATCACTGCAAAAACGGACACTTCAAAAGTGGATTTAAAAATGGAAATCGTCAACAAATATTCATTTTTTTAAAAAGTATATCCTAAGTATATTTCAAAAATTATAACAAAATTATAGAGCATTGGGTTACTGAAATCATAGACCAACATGTGGATCACTAACGCCACCTACTGGCTATAATTGTCATTATGTTATTGTCATGACAGCAGATGTTCAAAAATCATACATGATATTTACCTGATTTTTCAGAATGAAGCATATGGTCTTACTGCAGTTAAAGTAATATAAAATGTGTTTGTTTGATATGAAAATTAATGGTGTAACTTAGAGAGAAATTAGGTCTATTTATATTTTTAAATAAGTTTAGTCCTATTAAATGAAGTTAGTGTTACTGTGTCTTTCAAAATTATTTATTTAACAAAATAATTATTTATTTTTAAAAGATGTATTTATTATATTTGTTTACTCACCCTGGTGTTGTTGTAATATCATATTACCTTTCTGTTTCAGACCATAAAATGATCAATCTAAAAAAAAGTCCTGCTAGCGCTCCTCTGTAATGGTTGTTAAGTTAACAGTGACCAACTTCAGGCCTTTAAATTAAACGGTGCATTATTGTGTCTACCCAAAGAGGCACAAAATCACTTTCACTGACTTTTACATTAACTGTTCCCTCCTGGTGGAATGACCTGCCCAACTCAATCCGAGCAGCTAAGTCTTTAGCTATCTTCAAGAATCGGCTAAAACACATCTTTTCCATCTTTACTTGACCCTCTAACTCTAGCACTCTCTATTCTATTCTTTAAAACTTGCCCCTTTAAGATTTGCACTCTATTCATTTACTAACTGCTTGTTTTCTTTAAGAAAAAAACAACTAACACTTGCTTCTCTACTCTTTTTGTATTCGATTTGTTTTTTTAAATTTATTATACAATTAACAAAAAGCAACAACAAAAAAGGCCTCTAACGCTCGCTTGCTCTATTCTATCTGTTTTCTTTTTATTTATTATATAATTTGAAAAAAAACTTGCTATGTGTATTGCGTTAGGCTAACTGAGACTTGTCATAGCACTTGCATATCATTGCTCTTTTGTTGATTTTGATTGCTTTTATTATCCTCATTTGTAAGTCGCTTTGGATAAAAGTGTCTGCTAAATGACTAAATGTAAATGTAAAATAAGATGCAGAACTCACAGAATGATCGCATACGACTTGTGCCATTGTGTGGTTATTTTGCAATAAATGGAAAAATGCTTAGAAAGAACTAACCTGATTAGAAATGTACTTTGTTGTAATTCATTGAAAATGACTTGCATTGATGAATAGTGTTGGGGAAAGTTACTTTTAAAAGTAACGCATTACAATATTGCGTTACTCCCTAAAAAAGTAATTAACTGTGTTACTTAGATACTTTATATTAAAAGTAATGTGTTACATTACTTTTTAAATCTGGGCAGGGCTTGCTTGTTTGTTTTTAATATAAAAAAGTTCTTCTTTTACAAATGTAAATGCCCTTTCACAACAAACGTGAAATGAATACCCCTCAGGCTGAAGGAAATGTAAATCCATGTCTGTACAGTAGAGGGTGCAGCTCAAGCAAATTGCATGAAGAATATGACGCAGGAGAATAAAGTTCAACACTATGCAGCAATAACAAAAATGAAACGTGTAATTTTTGCTTATTAGGTTTAATTGGATCATCGAAGGTCAGTAGCAAAGACACTGGTTTATAAAATAAGTTTAAATACATAAATAGTATTTGTCTTATTTAACATTTAATTATTGCAGGTTTGTATAATAGTCTTGAGTTTGCATTTTACTGTTTTTGTTTATTTTGAGGAATACTGAATCTGTTTTTGTGCAGGTGAGATGAGTAAATGCATGTTGACATTTAGTCTAGAACTACAGTAACATGTTCACAAAGCACACAATGCCTCTGCACTTAGTCCCAATTTCTCTCAACATGGCAACACACGAGCTGTAAGTCAATACATGGGAAACAAAGTAACTGGAGTTACTTATTTGAAAAAAGTAACTCCGATATTTCCTTCTAAATTAAAAAGTAATGCGTTACTTTAATAGTTACTTAAAGGGGTCGTATGATGCGATTTCAAGTTTTCCTTTCTCTTTGGAGTGTTACAAGCTGATTGTGCATAGATAAGATCCCTGAAGTTGCAAAGACTAAAGTCTCAAAACCAAAGAGATATTCTTTATCAAAGTTAAGACTCTGCCACGCCCCCCTGAAACGCCTTGTTCTAACACTCCCCCACATATCTACCTCACTATGTGGAAATATTTGCATATTGCGGCCCAAATGTGCACTCAAAGAAAGAAGGCGTGGTTTCAGTAACCGCAGTTTAGTGTTGAAGCAGCCATGTCAGGGAGATGCTGTGTGTTTCAGTGCGAAAGCAAAAGCACTTTATTTGGCCTTCAACACATACCAGCTTCATCACGCGTGTCTGTCACGTGACTCTGTTCCCCTTTC